CTCAGTGTATTTTGGTAACAAAACAGTATAATTCATTGCCAGTAATTTTTAAGCTAGTACTTATTCTGCAGGTCTGAAATATACAGTAAACTATCTGTCATCTCACAAGACAGTAATATAAAGTATGATTATTTGACAATATAAAAAAATATTAGATCATAAGCTCTCACAACTGTTTCAAAGTTTTGATACAAAAACAGGGTGTACAATACACAATCTACTTGAAAACCTAATGAATCGTATGGTCTAAGGCACATGTTTGAATTAATCATTAGTCAATGATTATATCTGCTGTTGGAGATCTGAATAGAGCTTTGTGGTGTTCAAACATCATTACAATGATTGAATGTTACTATGACACAAGCTGAAAGTTCAATAAGTGCTGACACACTTCAATAAATTACAAATATTATTATTTGAAAGAAGGACAATTTTCATCAGGTCAGTAAGCCTGTAATGTGAGGACATATATGTTATTCCATCTGTTTAGCTAAACTGTAAAATTCTTTAAATTATGTTGTTTTCATAATTTATCTTTCAGACACAATGAAGTATTCAAACAAGTGTTAGCATTTTCCTACAATGAAAATGTATTTCCGATAGCTACTTACCTTTCTCACAAAATAGCTTTTCTCAACTAACACTGCTCTATATTAGCACAAATTTTCAATGCATGCTACAAGGTTTTCACTTCTTGCTTCTGCATATCCACATGCAAATGATTGTGCAGCAGCTTTCCACCAATAGCAGCACAACTCCACTCCCATTATAACCAGTGCCCTCTTCACATCTATACTTGCTAATCATTTTGAGATTGATCAGAAGACCTACACCATACATCATGGGAAGTGGGGAGGCTGGCTGGGAAATGTGAGTGGAAGTAAATATCTATTGGACATAGATTTTTAGTGCAGGAAAATGCTAACTTCCAATATGATATCTTACCTCCTCTCACAAAATAGCTAGAATGGTAAGGGTCAATAAAAAAATGATCCCTTTTAGGAAACACCCAAAGAGAGACCAGGAGGTGTGGAATCAAACAAGAAAACATCATACCTCAGCAAGAGACTGCAGCACATCTGATCCAGGTATACTGTTGATGTTTTATGACCAATGAATGGGACTCCCGGGTGTCGCGTGGCTAGGATGAAACAGATTGTAGTTGTAGTTTGACCTCATTCAACACCAGGCAGTATCTGGAATGGTACATTAGACCTGTGGTAGGTAGATCACCTGCCTCTTCATTTTGAAATGGGAATTGGTAGGAAAGAGGAGCTTCTGTATGAAAATCCACCTCCACTTGCATGCATTTTCCCACACAATCAACACCAAATCCATTGGGAACTGACATCCAGCAGACAGTAGAAAGTGAAAAGTCCCAGAGGAATGACAGCTCTGTTCCAAAACCTGATGGTAATGGGAATGGTACTTTGAGATTGTGGTACGTATATATATATATATAGATACAACCAACACCAAATCTGGTGGGAACTGACATTTAGCAGATGGTAGGAAGAGGGACTGCAAACCTGGGGTGCATTTCCAGTCCAAAATCTGGTGGCATTGGGCATTTGTCATCCAGTCAGCAATAGGAGGAGGGATATTAGCCAGCACACCAACATCAGACCCACTGGGAATGTACATTTGGAGGATAGTAGGGACATCCTAGCCTGAGGGGCAAACTGCAATAGTATCTATATCTATTTATCTATCTATGTATGACAAGGCAGATGCTTCAACTAAAACCTGGCAGCATCTGGAATTGTACATCAGTTCTGCAGTAGGAAAGGCATCAGGTCATTTACACATGAAACCAACCATGACTGGGTCATCTCCAATCAAAACCAGACCCACAAGGAATGTACATCCAGACGATGGTAAAAAGGAGGAATGCCAAAGTAAGAAAAACAATTGGTCAGATATATAGACAGGAATATGGTGCAGTGCTACAACCAATACCTGGTGGCATATGGAATTGTATGTCAGGTCCTTGGTAGGAAGTGTGATATGATTCATCACTCAGACGGACAGGTCTCCAAGGTCCACCACCCCAGTGGCTAGGAATTTTTAAGTGACAAGAATTCCCATACTCCACTAGAAGAAAGGGGGGATGCACTGGATAGTCCGGAGACAGGGTAACGGGTGACTGAAGTATTCTATTTTGAAAGGCAGAGCTATCATGTCAAAGGAGTCAATCTACCAAAACCTGGAACTGTACCTCAGGTCTGCAGTAGGAAGAGTCTCAACACCATGGAGAAACAGATAGGGAGCAATCTCTGCTTTACTCTTGTTGGTCCATGACTGTACAGTCCAGAACAAACATATTTATGAAACAAAAAACTATTAGAGAAAACTAATAGCAGTCCTACAGAACACCCAATCTCTATGGTGTGCATAACCCAAACCCTGCAACACAATTGTTTAGTCAGAGATAACAAGACAAACAACCAATACCTGGCAGCATCTGGAATTGTACATCAGGTCCATGGTAGGAAGGACTACAATGTAATTAACATTGAGCATAGTCACAGGATGGATAGTGCAGATTTTCAAACAAAAAAAAGTATACCTTATTAGGCACCACTTGCTACAGAGTGGGATCCACAATACACTAGCAAAAACCTCCACGATAAAGTAAGAAAAGTTTTATTTTCTTAAAAGCAACCATTCACAATACCAAAATGCGAAAATTTAAATAAATAGTAAAGTAAAATTAAGTCAGTAGTATAGTGGAATATGTCAACAAATCCGCTAGCAAAAAACCAGCACATCTACTACCAATCGAGAAGTGATTAACGAATGGAGATGTGAAGAAGGTGCTGGTTATGATGGGAGTGGTGTCGCATTCCAATTGGTAGAGAGCTGCTACATGATTATTTGCATATGGATATGCAGAAGTGAGAGGTGGGGGGCTAATGGCATACATTAAAAATTTGCATCAATAGAGGACAGTGCTAGTCAAGAAAAGCTATTGTGTGAGAGTGGTAAGATATCATATCAGAATATTAACTTTCACTTTCTCTAAGTAGTAAGCAAGTTTGCAGAGTAGATTGTCCTTTTTTTTTACAGGAATAATGATGCATTTAAGTGATGAGCCAAGCAATTCTTGTTGGCAAATCTTACAATAGCTGTGGGCAGTTATGCGCTTAGTCTTCACACCTCCTATTAGTTAACTGGGGTAGCTAGTGCAAATCATGAGCTTTTGTATGCTAAGATATCAAAGTTTATTGGTATATTCAAGTTCATGCTTGGGCTAGAGAGCTCAGAGTTTTGTGTAGTTTAAGCTGTGTTTTAACTTTCAGCAAGAGCTCCTATAGTTCTTGCATTGAGGTTTTTATGTTTGCCAATCTCTGTAAGCATTCAGCAAAGACCTTTCTGTTTCTGCTGAGTTTCTTTATTTAACCACTACTTTTAGTGAGTGTTAAAGTTCTTATGTAATGCTAGCATTCACATTTCATGGACAGAATTAGTTTATACTTGGTTATTTTGTTGTTAAGGTAATAGGCTCTCGTTTTACCGAAAATACAATCCTAGGATCTAAGTAGATAGTAGTTAGAGACTGTACTTAGCACACTTTTCATTTACTTCTATCTTAACTTGGAGTTACTATTTGTTTATCATCTTTTCTTATATTACAGTTTAATTTAAGGGGGGGGAGAACACATACTACTAAGAACAGCTTGTTTCATGAAAGTCTTCATTGTAGCTACATTAGTCCAACACTTCTGTATTATATCACATCCAGATCACTTGTTCAGTTTTTGTTTTTTTTATGTATTGTTTTGTATTTTGTTTAGTGTAATCAACATTTCTATTTGTGTGGATCTGGGTATTGTCTCTTTCATCAAGATCAATTGCAACATGAAGGGAAATTCACCTAAAGGCTCAAGAATGGAGAACTTCATGTTGTTAGTATAACTCTGCTATGCTGGTACTCCACGAGATAACATAGGGCTAATAACTGAGAATTATAACTTGACAAGTAGGTTTTTAATAATTTTAGTACATGTTTGCTGCTATTTTCTCTCCTTTGAGAGAATAAGTAAAAAAAAAACTTGTAAGACAGAATTGGCAAGGCACTAAAACTTTACTCTTAAATGCATGCTTCATACAAAACAACAGAAAAAACACACACAAATAAGCAAGTATATTTAAGAGGGATTGATTGATAATCCCACATTGACTTTACTACCACGGGTTACAATGTAATATTAAAGTTTTATAGGTAAATTTAGCATAAAATGATGTTTCAATTTCAATTAATAAAGTCTTGATGCTTCATACAACATTTAAATTTTTTTAAAAACATGCTCACATCTTCAGATGAGTTAAGTTTGGAGTCAACAGTGGAATCCACAGGTATACTATTGAGATTTTCTGTTGAAACAAGATCCACTGTAGAAGAAACAAAACTATGAACTGGTGTGTTACCATCTGGCTCTGAATTAAATGTAGTTGCATAATGCTGAACATTCTGTCATGAAAAGAAAAAAAATGTCATAGAATTAAAATATTAATAATAAAAACATAAATAAAATTAAAAACTAATATGGTAACTGAAAAGAAGTTCTATGTCTCAGAGGCTGCAATGTATGGTTCACATTTCTTCAACTCAACATTTACACTGAATTTATTGATAACCATCTCATCACATTTTGTATGAAATTTTCTATATGAAAAACCAAAAAAACAACCAACAAACAGATTTAACACATGATTTTGTTACCTTTTCCATCATAACATCTTTGAAGTTACAACTCAGATAAATACTATGCATGTCTCTTGTAAAGCAAAATTATTTTCAAACTGTGAACTTTAGAATTCTTGTCTTCAACTCATGTAATCACATTCAACTCCTGGTGTATAAAAATCAGAAAAAAAGTCTACATGCACATGTTAAATAAATTATACAAATCTAAGTTCTTCATAACTATACATACATTATGCTTTCCAATAATAATAAACATACTATAAGAATATTTCAAATACAATAACAATCAATCATAAATGTGTTTATTGTCTCAGGGAAAGCATTAGACACATCCTGGATTATTACAAAAAATATTAAACTAAAGACAAAATACTTTCACTTTATTAATTGGGTAATAATAAACTAACTTACAATAAGTATGATTACTAAAAATGATAATACCACATTATCACAAAACATAGTTCAAGTAATAAAAAAGGAATAGAATTAAAACTGTAACAGTTGCTCAAATCTTAAGAGATTAGATCATTTCTTATAGCTCCCTTTAATTTTTCATTGCTTATTTACTCCGGGTTAGCTGTAAAATATACAAGACAAGCTGATTGCCCATCATATGATGGGAAATAATGATTATTTTTCTTCTCAAAATTATATTGAAATTAAAGTTTTATGAACATGTTTTCTAAAAATTAATTATAATCTAGTAACAATGTATACATATGGAGAATGACTATCCTATTTCTAGTATTTCATGAAAATGACATTTTTTGTGCATAGTTGGACACATCAAGTATTGCTTGACTAGCATTTCGACTTCTGTATATTTCTATGTTCAAACTTTCTTCTTCATAAATCCTTATAGATTGACACATGCAACAAAAAAAAACAACCGATTCTCAAAGACACATTCCTAATTGTCCAACTGTATGACCCTGCAAATTATTAATTGTGATGTTAAAGGCAGTGAATTATATTATGAATTTTGGGGTCTTCCCTTTGGACTGAGCTGAAGAAGCACACTTTACTTTTGACATTTTCAAACTAATATGCAACGGGTTATCAAAGGCTTGCAGCCAAGGGTTCTGATTGGAAAAAAATTGGTGATGTTGCATCAATGTGTCTCCTTGATAACCAAGCAAATGTGATGGGGAATTTCAGCCAATGAGAATGATTTCTGTGCATGTATACCTGATTCGACTTTATTACTCATCACGATCTCTACAAACCTGCCCTCAAATCTAATTATATGCCCAAAGTAGTATATATATATATATATATATATATATATATATATATGTATAAGTAAAACTTTAACTAAGGACAACTAGTCTTCGTCCTAGACGAAGTAAACGTACCGTTCGTTTCTATGACTAAGTTGTCGTTTA